CTCAGTGCTCCTGAGTAAGGAATTACCAACCACCATTGCTTATCTTCTTCCTTTGACTCTTACTGCCTCATCTTTCACCTGATAGCTTCTGCAGCTCCAGTTTTATTATTCTCCCAGGATCACAGATTTAGAGCTTTAAGGGGATAAACCCCCTCACTTCACAGAAGAGGAAAATGGAACCCAGAGATATTAGGTGATTTGTTCAAGGTCATTCTGGTATTAAACATCAGGGCTAATCCCACTGTACTTTGTTGCCTCAAAGTGGACAATCAGCTACTTCCCCCCCCCCACATGCCACTTTCGTCCTCTTCAGAAAGAACCTAAATCCTGGTTTTTAGCTCTCAGTGTGAAGTGGTACTTCTTTCATTTATTTTCCTTCTGACATTCTTTTGTTCTCTAATTTCCTGAAACTTGACATTCCTTTTTTACCTTACCTGGGGATTCCTTCTGGTTATGAGTTGGACTAAATGGTTACAGAATTCTCTTCTAAATGTCAAATTCTGTGACTGAGTGATACTTCTTCAAAATCTACAGTGAATGTCAGATTTTGTCTGGTTTCATTCACTATCAGAAATCCTAAGAGGTAGGACTTATTCTACCCTAGGGTGCCCATATTTTTCAACCTAGCAATAGTTTCTTCTCTGTTAATAAGAATGTAGTCAAGGGCAATGTCATGCATAACAAGGGGCAGATGGAAGGCTAGCTATTGAGAATTCCTCTTTCACGTAGCTCACGTAGGATGTTCTTCATGACACTGGCTAATTCCATTCTGATATCATCATCTGGCATCAGATTTTTTTTTAAAGAAGTACTTCACTGTCCCTGAAATCCTAGAGTGCGGAGAGTGCTTCATCTTTCCTTCTAACTGCTTATGGATATTTACTCCTTACTCTAATCCCTCTTCCTTTATAGGCCTTTATAGAACTATGCTGACCTTTATCACTTTTTTCTTTTTTTCTTTTTCAGTATTTTTTTATTTAGTATTTTATTTTTCCCCAATTAAATGTAAAACCAATTTTTAACATTTGTTCTTAAAACTTTGAGTTCCAATTTCTTATCTTCCTCTCTCCTCATACTCTTTCATTGAGAAGGTAAGCAATTTCTTATAGGTTATACATGGGTAATCATGGAAAACTTATCCATAATAGTCATGTTGTGGAAGAAAACATAGAAAAAACTCAATAAAAATAGTAAGGAAAAAAGTGTGCTTCAATCTGTATTCAGACACCATCAGTCCTTTCTCTGAGGATGGAGAGCATTTTTTTTATCATAAGTCCTTCAGTATTGTCTCGAATCGTTGTATTGCTGAGAAGAGCTAAGTCATTCACAGCTGTCCATATTACAATATTGCTATTACTTTGTATGTAGTACATATCACTTTGCATCAGCCCATGGAAGTCTTTCAAGGTTTTTCTGAGAGCATCCTGCTCATCATTTCTTATAATACAATATTATTTCATCATAATCAAATGCCACAACTTGTTCAGCCACTCCCCAGTTGATGGCCATCCCCTCAACTTTTAAGTCTTTGCCCCAAGAAAAGAGCTGCTATGAATATTTTTATACATAATAGGTCATTTTCCTGGTATTGCTAGGTCAAAGAGTATGTATGGTTTTATAGCCCTTTCGGCATAGTTCCAAATTACTCTACAGAACAGTCGAATAAGTTCACCACTTCACCAACAGTGCATTAATGTGTCATTTTCCCTACATCCCCTCCAACATTTGTCATTTGCTTTTTCTGTCCTATTAGGCAATCTAATAGCTATGAGGTAGTACCTCAGAATTATTTTAATTTACATTTCTCCAAGCAACAGTGAATTAGAGTATTTTTTAATATGGTTATAGATAGCTTTGATTACTTCATCTGAAAACTGATCATATCTTTTGATCATTTATCAGTTGGTGAATGGCCCTTATTTTTTATAAATATGACTCAGTTCTCTATATGTTTTAGAGGCTTTTATCAGAGAAACTTGCTTCAAAATGTTTTTCACAGTTACTGTTGCTAACTGCATATCCCTCCATTCTACACCTCCCCCCTGCATTTATTCTATTCTCTCTCCTTTCACCTTGTGCCTCCTCAAAAGGTTTTTGCTTCTGACTACTCCTTCCCCTAATCTGCCCTCCCTTCTATCACACCCCCATCTCTTATACCCTTTCCTGTAGGGTAAGCTAGATTTCTATACCCAATTGAATGTATATGTTATTCCCTCTCTGAGCCAGTTTTGATGAGAGTAAGGTTCATTTACTCCCCTTTACCTCTCCCATCTTCCCCTCCACTGTAAAAGCTTTTTCTTGCTTCTTTATGTGAGATAATTTACCCCATTCTACTTCTCCTTACTGCTTTCTCTGAGTACATTCCTCTCTCATCCCTTAATTTTATTTTTTAGATATCATCCCTTTCATAATCAACTCACACCTGTGCCCTCTGTCTATATATACTCCTTCTAACTACCCTAATAATGAGATATGTCTTATGAGTTACAAATATCATCTTCCCATGTAGGAATGTAAACAGTGTAAGCTTATTAAGTCCCTTGTGATTTTCCTTTCCTGTTTTGCTTTTTTATGCTTCTCTTGAGTCTTGTATTTGAAAGTCAGATTTTCTTTTCAGAATGCTTGAAAGTCTTCTATCTAATTGAATGTCTACTTTTCCCCTCATGGATTATACTCAGTTTTGCTAGGTAGATGATTCTCGGTTGTAATTCTAGCTCCTTTCCCCTACAGGATATTATATTCCAGGCCCTCCAGTCCTTTAATGTAGAAGCTGCTAAATCTTGTGTTATCCTGACTGTGGCTCCACAATACTTTAATTGTTTCTTTCTAGCTTCTTGCAATATTTTTTCCTTGACCTGAGAACTCTGGAATTTGGCTATACTATTCCTGGGAGTTTTCATTTTGGGATCTCTTTCAGAGGTGATCAGTGGATTCCTTCAATTTCTATTTTACCCTCAGGTTCTAAAATATCAGGGCAGTTTTCCTTGATAATTTCTTGAAAGATGAAGTTAAGACCCTTTTTTTGATCATGGCTTTCAGATAGTCCAATAGTTTTTAAATTATCTCTCCTGGATCTATTTTCCGGTTCAGTTGTTTTTCCAATGAGATATTTCATATTGTCTTCTATTTTTTTTCGTTCTTTTGGTGTTGTTTTATAATTTCCTGATTTCTTATAGAGTCATTAGCTCCATGCTGCCACTGATTCATGGCCAAAGGTCTTTCCTAATCTGCTGGGGCCTGGTCTATGCACCCTGGTGCAACAGACCTTTCCTGCTGACCTTTTAAGTTCTTTTGCACTGGAAATTTGTTTCACTCTTTTTGTGGGTTCTGCTGCTCTAGAATTTGTATAGAGTCATTTTAAAAAGTATTTGGAGGGGTTTGGAGGAGAGCTGAAGCAAATCACTGCTTTTACTATGCCATCTTGTCTCTGCCCCCCTCTCTAGTGTTTTTAAAAGGAATGGATGTTGTATCTCATCAAAAGCTTTTTCTGTATCTGTTGGGATAATCATATGATATCTGTTAGTTTTGTTGTTGATATGGTCAATTCTGCTGATAGTTTTCCTAATATTGAACCAGCCCTGCATTCCTGGTTGAAATCCTACCTTTTTACCTAGACAAGTACACTTACTTTCTTTTTCCTCCTCTTATTAACCTCTTTATCGTTTTATTTAACAATTTCCTTTGCCAATATGTTTTGCCTAATAATTTGTTTACTTATCTTTTTTTTTTCATTTACCTTGGGTTGCCAGTTCTTTCCTCTTTGATATTTTTCTATTAAAATCTTCTCAGTCCTCTTCCCCATTCATTCTGAGTCCTCCTTCAGATTAACTTTTATTTTACACTAATCTCTTCTTTTTCGGCTCCAATTTTTATCATGCAACTTTTGCTTATTCTACATTTCTCCTCAAGTTCAATATTTGTCTTCCACAAGTTTAGAATCTTCTCCTTAACTTTCACATGTTTCCTTACCTTATTCAATTCAAGAACATCTTTCTTCTTCTATTGCTGCTCTCAGTACCTTCTTCCACAGAGGGTGAAAGTTGAAAATAGAAAAATTATGACATACATGGTGAAATAGTAGAACGAACAGTGAATTAAGGGCAATAAAATCCAAGATCAATATGTGGTTTTACAACTGACTAAATAGATGCAAGTTACCTGGTCTCTCCAAACCTCAATTTTTCTCATCTGTTATATTCCCAGCTCATAGTGTTGTTGTGAGGATAAAATGAAATGAAAGATGTTAAAGTCCTGAATAAACTACAATTTATCTACATACAAGAGATTATTATTATTTTTACCCTTTCTACTTTGAAGAGATTTTCTTTAATAGAGGAGGCAGAACTCACCATACAACAATGTGGTTGTTGTTTTTCTTAGCACAAAGAACACAAGCTTTTTACAAATTTTATTTCCTTTCTTTTTTTTTTTTAGATTGGGAGACTGGGCATGAAAGCAAAGAGTCAGTTTCAAAACAGGACATTTCAAATGAAGAATTGTTCCTGAAAAGATTTATAAGTGATGATCCTAAGAATTCCCAAGGACAAATTTGGGAATATAATATCAAGTTAGAGAAGCATCAGGGCAACCAGGAGACACATTCTGGGCAGGCAATTGACCACACAAAAACTCCTGGTATGTTAAGAGACCATGGTTTTAATAAATTCCAAGGAAGCTTCATTCAAGGGTCAATCTTTGCTACCCAAGAAACAGATTCTATAAGAAAAAAGTTCCATAAATATGACAAACATCAAATGATCCTTAATGACTATTCAGACATTCTGAAACAAATCCCTTTAGGGAAGACACCTCAAAATAATGACTCTGAAGAAGCCATCTGTCAAACCTCAAATTTTATCCAATGTAAGAACATGGAGACTGGGAAAAAAACACATAAATATAATGAATGTAGTAAAGCCTTCAGTCAAAACACATACTTTCTCAACATCAGAGAAATCACACTGGTGAGAAACTCTATAAATTTAATGAATGTGGCAAAGCCTTCAGCCGAAGTACTTTGCTTATCCAACATCAGAGTATTCATACTGGAGAGAAACACTATAAGTGTAATGAATGTGGCAAAGCCTTTACTCAGAGAACACATCTGATTCAGCATCAGCGAATCCACACTGGGGAGAAACCTTATGAATGTAATGATTGTGGAAAGACTTTCAGGTACAGATCAAATCTTACTCAGCATCAGAGAATCCATACTGGAAAGAAACCCTACAAATGCAATGAATGTGGGAAAGCTTTCAGGGAGAGCTCATCTCTTATTCGACATCAGATCATCCATTCTGGAGAAAAAACATATGAATGCAAAAAATGTGGGAAAACCTTTATTCACAGTTCATCTCTTAGCCAACATCATAGGATACATACTGGAGAGAAACCCTTTGAGTGTAATGAATGTGGGAAAGCATTCAGTAGTAGCTCATCCTTTATTAAACATAAAAGAATTCATACTGGAGAGAAATGCTATAAATGCAGTGAATGTGGGAAAGCTTTCAGCCAGAGCACACATGTTATTCAACATCAAAGAATCCATGCTAGAAAGAAACCCTTTGAGTATAAGGAATATGGAATAGCTTTCAGTAACAGCTTATCTTTCATTAAAAATGAGAGAATTAATACTGGAAAGAAACGATATAAATGTAGTGAATGTGGAAAAGCTTTCAGCCAGCGCCTACATGCTATTCAGCATCAAAGAATCCACACTGGAGAAAAACCCTTTGAGTGTAATGATTGTGGGAAAGCCTTCAGTAATAGTTCGTCTTTTATTAAACATCAGAGAATTCATACTGGAGAGAAACGATATAAGTGTAATGAATGTGGAAAAGCTTTTACCCAAAGCACACGTGCTATTCGGCATCAAAGAATCCACACTAAAAACAAACCCTTTGGGTGCAATGAATGTGGCAAAGCCTTTAGTCAGAGGACTCATCTTGTTGAGCATCAGCGAATCCACACTGGGGAGAGACCCTTTGAATGTAATGAATGTGGAAAAACCGTTAGGCACCATTCATCCCTTACTCAGCATCAGAGAATCCATACTGGAGAGAAGCCTTATGAATGTAATACATATAGGAAAGCCTTCAGATCCAGATCATCACTTACTAAACATCAAAGAACTCATACTGAAGAGAAGTTACATGAATGAAATGCATGTGAGAAAGCCTTCAATAAAAATTTATCCTTTATAAACATGAAAGAATCCATATCAAAATGAAATCCTATAAATGTTGGCCAGTAATGTTGACCACATTGTTTACTTCAGACATATTTTTAAAAAGATACTTAACGATCCATGATTTTATTAGTGTGGATATTCCTTTCGCTCCCTCACAATCCTTTTTCATCAGTAGATAGTTTGGCTCTAGGCTTTGTCCTGTTTCAAGGTCAGGCAGAGCAAGTTTCTGCTTCATCTAAGAGCTTTTTTCTCCACGAATTGTTGCTTATTTTTGCTAATTTGTTTTTTCATATAAATTTCATTATTACTTTGTCTAGTTCTAGAAAAGAATCCTTTTTGTACATAGTTGTATTAAATTTGTTAATTAAATTTGTTTATAAATAACTGATTAAATGGTGAAATATGAACATTTTTGCTCTATATTTATTCAACCCACCCATGTACAAAGTAGTTCCCTCCAACTGCTTAATCCCTTTGGTTCTGTCCTAATAATTTTGTCTAATTATTTTTTTTACAAAGGTTTAGTATGAGTCTTAGTAAATTAATAACCACATATTTTATTTTTGTCATTATTGTAGATGACATTTCCTTGCTATTAGCTCATTATTTTTATTAGCATCATAAAAGAACATAAATGACTTCGCCAGCTTTATCAAATATTCTGCTACATTATGAGAACTCTTTGTCTCCATTTTTTTAAGGCCTTGGATTTTCTATTTACACAACATTCCATCTGCATGGAAAGATGCTTATTACCAATGTTATCCCTTCAATTTTATTATTATTATTTCAAGCACTTTTGAAACAATGTCAAATAGAAGTGGTAAAATTGGAGACATGGTTTATTAAATTGATTTTACTGGGAACACTACTAATGGTTCTCTGTTATAGATAATATTAATTTTGGTTTGAAGTAGATGTTATTTTATCATGTTAATGAAAACCATTTCCCCTCTATTATTTGTATGATGACTAGGTGCTGCATTTGGTCAGAAGCCTTTTCTTGTCAATTGATATTAGTAAAAACCTTGGGGTGGGAGTGCCTATGTGTGAACAGTGGTGGTGGTGTGGCAGTATTGGTGGTATTGGTGGTTTGTCCTTTATTCTGGAAGAGGACCATGATATCAGGAAGATCATGCTATGACTTGCAAGTGAATTGGATTTGAGTGAGGGAGGGCTGTGCAAAGTCACCAGCCTCACTTTCTCCCCCAGAGCCATCTGGGTCCAGTGGTCAGATATAGATCAGGATGACTGGAGATGGCCCCCCATGTGTAAACAATGATAAGGCATGAATACTTCAGAGTAAATGCAAGTACAAAAAAGGTAAAGCACTCCTCAAAGTAGTAACTGTCAAGCAACCATCACCCATACAAAAATAGGAATTGTACTTTCAATAGCCTCAAAGAAAGCAAAGGTTGTGTGAAGTATGTGAAGGGGAAGAAAAGGTCAGCCATTTCCCCTCATTGAACACTGTGAAAAAGGATGATGTCCCTTTATAGACCAGGGCAGTAGATGGGCTGGATACTCCTCCCTGACATTACTACCTAGACTTATTGCCTTCATCATACATTTCCTGGGAGAAGCAATTAAGCACATTTATGTGAAACGGTAAGTGGTAAAGTGTTATATAAACATGTTAGATTCTAAATACAATTATTTAAAAGCATGTTGATGAGATTTTTGAAAAACTATGTTATTTGGAATCATTAATAGTAGGTCTTCATTTTTTAGATCATTTAAGCCCTCCACTTAAGTCTCAACTCTTATGTAGGGCTCTGTTCCTGCAAAGAATTTGAAAATCAGTGATGTAGGCCATCTTAAAGCCCATTTCTACCCTTCCGTATACAATCTTTGGTCCTGAAGTCCTTCACTCTGACTGTTGGACAAGAAAGCCCTGAAAGTGATCCAGCCTCTGAGGAGATCTCTTTGGTTCCATTCCATAGTGCCAGATTAATCTATCATTCCCTCTTTCCTTGCCCCTTTGATTTTCCACCCCCCACCCCACCCCATCCCATATATCAGCACATTCTGTAGTCTACAAAGGAAGATTCTTAGGGATAATGAGTCCTTTCTTTTTGGATCCAACTCTTCCTTGTCTTCTGGCAGCTTCATAGCCAATTTCATTTCTGTCATTTCTACCTGTGCTTCTTTCCTTTTCTTCTCCACATATTCATTCCCTTATCTAGTCCCTTTTTCCTACCCCTGTCTCATTCATTTCACCTCTAGTTGGGCCGATATTGGAGAAGTCAGGTTTGTTATTAAGGAAAACAATTTTCGTAATTTCTCTTCTCCTCCCCCTTAATCTCATTCCTCTTCACAGCTCAGATACTGAGAAAAAAAAAATATAAACATGAGTTGCTTGCAACGTGGCTCAATACAAGTCAAAGTGATACCTTAATGATGATAATGGTGTGATTCTCACAGTGGAATTCTATGAGAAAAAAATTCCCCTAAGGTGAAACATTCCTGGACAGAGGCCATGTTTTCTATTGTTTTTCTATTCCTCATGGTACCAATAAAAATGCTGGGCATATAGATATTTAAATAAAAATGAGAACACATTTCCAGGATCCTTGCATGGACACTCAAATCTGGACACCATTTTTAGTGAATGAAAGTAAGATAACTTTCTTTTGGGACCTTTTGGAAGGCTCTTGCCTTCTTTCCCTCATTCTCATTTCCCAGAAATTTTTTATAGTTAATAGTAATAATAATAATAAGTAACAAATAGTGCTTATTACATGGCTGGAACTGTGCTAAGCATTTTACAGTAACAATAACTCTGCAACCAGAGTAACAAGGCAGATGCAGAACTGTATATCTCCTCTTTAATCTTTTTTAAGTGTGCCTTTCTGGATTTAGAAGGAGCATGTGTCATTTGGAGACAAAGGTATGCCAGAGTAGCTGAGTATTGGAAACCAAGATGAAGTTCAGCATGATGACTATGACCTTCCCTTTTATGCTGTGGACAGGGGAAGCTGGAGGACTTCAATGTCATCTAAAAGCTTGTGAGAAATGTAGTCTGGAAAGGAATGCTGCTGCTGATCTGTGCCGCCATTGGCCAGGTACCTTTACCCCATCCATTATGCCCTACCTTATAGCCTCAGAATCCACATATTTTGACTTGTCTGCCTTCAACACATTATCTTCTGTCCCGTAACCTCTTGCCTTCATTATCAGGATTGCTACTCATTCCCTTTAACTTCTGGAGACATTTGCAATTCATTAACTATGCAGAGTACATGGTAGAGGAAGCAGTTACTGTGAAGTGAAAAGTGCCCTGGATTTTGTAGTTAGGAGACCCAGGTTCAAATCCTGACTTGAATAGATGTGTGTGACCATCACTCAATCTCTGTGAGCCTCAGCTTCTTCATCTGTAGTATTTTCACTATTTACCTCACAGACTAATTGTAAGGATGCATGTTTTATAAACCTCAAACTGATATACATACACATACACATATATGAGTGTATATATACATATATATGTGAGTTATGATGAGATGCTTGAGGACATGACCTGTGCTTTCATATAGCTCACAGTTGTGAGATGACACACACATGTACACTTCAAGATTTCAGCTGATCCTTGATCTCACTAATGTAGATAGTACTCCTGCTGGTGCCTGTTTGCAACCTGGTCATGGCACCTCATCTTGTGCAATTCTTGTTCACATCTTCCCATAAATCCTCTATAGAGATCTATCCATATTGGAGGCCTTCCTTTAGCTTTTTAAAAATTCTTTGCTCTATGCAACTCTTAAGTTGTTTGTCCCTCAAACTGAAACATAACTAACCCACTTCCCTTTCTGTACATTTCCAGTAAACTACTTGAAAGCGAGCACTGTTTTTTAAATCTATGTATTCCTAATGCCTTGCACATAGAAGGCACATAATAAATGTTCATTGAATTGGCCTACATTCTTTGTATTGTGCCACCTCTTACAACACATATGGATAATTATAATGTGAATTGAAAGATACGTTTCCAATAGATATGTGAACCGAATGCTGTGGAAGGTCGGAGGGGCAAAAGATCAGTACTGAAGGAGAAGAACCACAAATAATTCACAAGGTAGAATTTAGACTTGGCCTTAAACGTATAATTTCAATAGACAAATAGGGAAATCTGAGTGGGGGGAAGGAAAGGAATTCAGATAGTCAAGTTAACTGGCATTTATTAAACAACTATATTCAAGGCATTATGCTAAGTGCTAGCATAATGGTGAAATGCAAAAAGGGATGGCAAGTGGAAAAAGTTTAAGGAGCTGTGCTCTAACATCACAGACATCAAAATGGAGAGTAATCTTACAAATGTAATGAATGAAAAGAAAGTCTTAAAAATATCTTATGTGGTTGAATATTCTATAATGAAAATATTCTAGTTTATGAACTATGATTTTGTTTGTAATTGTAGAGATAGACATGCTCTGTTTCTACTTTATTTTCCCATTTTCTTTTAAACATATGGGCTGCTACCAGATAGCAATATAATTGGCCAAGCTGGAGAATCTGTTGGTCTAATTCCAAACTTTCTCAGAGAAACTAAATTAGTTTATTAAACAAAATTTTTCATAATAAATGTATCTTTAAAAATATATTGTGAAAAGAACCAAAAAACATTAGATGTTTTCATACTTGTGGCAAGGTGTATAAAAGGTAAATTGGAATGATCTAAGTTTAATCTGGTTCTTCTATAGGAAAAATATTATAAGAGGGGTCAAATTCCTAGCAAAGGCCTTTGATTCAACTTTTAACATGTTAAAAAACCCATACGTTGTGATTAAATCCTTCAGTTATAAACATGCTTATGGATATATCTTTCTAAAGTATACATAAACTGATTTAAAAAGGCAACACAAGAAATCACTACAATAATACTTAATATGGTATAGTATCATAGTGTGCTATATAAAGTTTTTGCATTTTGTAAAATTCCTGACTTTTTTACACAGCATGAAATCAGAATGTGAAAGATCACTTTCAGGATGATGGTGTCTATCCAAACAAGGGATTCTTTGGGGACACTTTCATAGGTAACTTTGAGAAGTCTTTAGAGGTAATTTAGGGCCACTCGTTGACTTTTTGAGAAACTGATTCAGGGATATTGCTTTGATTATTTCATTTGTTCACTGTACATTTCTCTTTAGGAATAAGCATTGGTATTATATATAGCTCTGAAACAGCTGGCACAGTGGATAGAGCACCAGGCCTATAGTCAGGAAGACATGAGTTCAAATCTGTCCTAAGACAGATTACTAGCTTTGTGCTCCTGAGTAAGTCACTTAACCTGTATCCTAATAATAACACCTCTCTTAAAGGACTGTTGTGAGGAGCAAATGAGGTAATATTTGTAAAAGCATTTGGTATGGTGCCTGGCACATAGCAGGCACTATATAAATGCTTA